TGTTGTATGTATCTGTGTAAACTGCTACACTATGGAGTGCCTGGAATGATAATGCCATGAATAAATTAACAGAGTTTTCATGAAAATACACAAGGAGAGGTTTTTATGGCGAGCTTGCTCTGCACTTACAAAAAAATGACATAGAACATGGTATGGCTGGAGAAAACAAGGTGCTGGTAGTGTAGCCAGCAAGCCCAGTTTGGATCTGGTTTTGTTTTTTGGGGGGGTTGGGAGGTGGGTACAAAAGGTGTGTTGTGGAGGTGGTTTGGCTCGGCAACATGTGTTGTCATCATATAGGCCCGTGCTAGGCATATCACTGCTCTGTGTAAGGCATTTCTTCTTACCCCTCAAACTTTGTCAAATATGACGAATTTAGAGCTGAGTCCAAACTAAAAAATGTGCTTCGTTTCTATGAAGGCACGGATTTCATTGCCTCAAAAGAATGTAAAAGAAACTAAACTTCAGTTTGGAAATATATAATCTACATGTCTTAAAGACCCTTCTTCTCTTTAGGACCAAGTGCCACACTTATCCCTTTTTTTTTCATTTCCCTGCTGAGCATGTCAATGAAACAGTCTGAATGAGGTGGCGTTCTCACTTTTTTTTGCCAAATACCCAAATTATTTAATCCAACCTTGACTTTCGTAGAGCACCCATATGTTAATGATACTGACTTTGCATTTCTGTGAGTCTATTGCATTAAGTAACATGTTATGGGATTTTGAAGGTCCTTGCTTTAAGATGTCTCCCCAGAACTCCATCTCTGGCTTGGAGCTGATCAACGAATGTTAGTGGTATAGGTGGAAGGAATCCAAATGTTTTATCTGATCTTCTCAGTTCACCTGAATAGTTAACTATCTGTTCTGCAGCATTTAAAGGATTTTCACAGTTCACTTCTAAGCATACCCCGTCCCTTTTTTTTTTTTTTTTTTTGATCTTTATACAGCAGTAGTAATAAATTGTCAGATCAATAAAAGGGGATTTTGAAAAAGGGTGAAAATAAATGTCATACTTCATAATTTCTTTCAAGACACCACTATCTTTATTATTGTATGTCACACCTACGCTTTGCTAAAAATAAGCACAGGTTAGAAGCTGGAGTAAAATTCATTTTCTGAAATGTCCTTTCCATGTGATCTCAAAGAAATATCTGAGACTGATATGCATCACTGCTGTGCCAAGTTATGTATCTTCAGAATCTCGGAGGAGATGAATCTTGTCCAGGCTTCCAGCCCAAAGGGATCATGACATTGTCACTCACTGTGAAAACGTCTGTAAACCTTTCATGAACTCATATCCTCCCAGCAGAGGAACAGTTGCCTGATTGTGAATTTTGGGGGTGAAATTTCTAGCGTCTCTCTTGGATTTCCATCTATACAAATACCTGCTGGGGAGGAAAAGAGGAGTATAGAAGAGAAAACCGGATTCTTTTCAGTAGTGCCCAGTGACAGGACAAGAGGCAATGGGTGTGAGTTAAAACACATAAAATTCCACCGGAACGTATTTGTTTTGTAAGGTAAGGGTGGTGAAACATTGGAGCACGTTGTCCTGGCAGGTCATGGAGTCACCGTCAGTGAAGGTACTCAAAACCTGACTGGACACTTCCCTGGACAACGTGCTCTGAAAAGGTGGGGTTGGAAGAGATGGTCTCCAGCAGAGTCTCAGTTGTAATGGGCTGAGCACCTAGGAAATGTGTATGTATTGCAGTGCTTCAGTACACTGACGCGTATAACACATTTCAGCATCTCTAAAGTTGTGTTATTGCTGCCTTGGAAGAAAAGTTCACATCTGCCTGGGAGTCTCACAATTGCTCGTGGAATTTTTTTCCTATGAAAGATGCTGTGTATCTACCTTAAAGCTCACATTGCTCATACTTGAATAGACAAATATAAAGAAAGAAGAGGAATTCTTGCTGAGCTGCAAGCTTTATTGTGAGTAATAGTATCCTGCAGTGGTTAATGAAAGTAGAGGCAAGCCTCTTCCTGTCATGAATTACCAGGTTGAACCCTTCATCTGTAAAGAGTAAAGTTGTAAAGAGAACCTGCAGAGGTTATATTAGAGTTATAAATTGAAATCCCTCATGTGACAGCTTGGTGTCTTTCAGTTTACAGGGGCATCTAATTTATTGCATCAGGATGACATTCCTTTGAATGGCTGTGATCCAGCTGCTGAGAAGTAGTGCAAATGTGTGCTTTAAAATGTTGTATGAAAGATCTCACCTAATTTAAGTGCTCTCTTGATATTAGTTCTGTCTTTTAGGGAGGATAGGTTACTGTTTGTATGTGGATGACTTTCTTTTATAAGTGCCCTTGCTATACCTCTTCACAGGGTATTTTACATGTGGTGGGGTAAATTAAAGTCTGATCAGTCTAAAGGAAAAACAAAGGCTACAGAAATAGCACTTAGTGGTCCCTCCTTTATGGGTTCATGCCTGCAGTCCCTCTGGGGACACTCCTGTGTTTTATAGCCTCAAGGGACAGTTCCAAACCAGACCCTGCTTTTGCAAGTACTGGGATGATGGGGATGCAGGGTTTGACTTGGAAATGCCTAGGGAACTCTAACCAGGAGAGAGGAAGTCAGAAATGGGGAAGCGAGTGGGGGTTCAGGGACAGAGAGACTGCGTTGGGAGGATGCACCAAAGTGAACCTATGCCACCTGTGCTGTCAGATTATTTGTTGTAAGGAGAGGCTGGAGTTCAGCATGCATTAAAGCACAATAGACCTGTCCACCTCAACAAAGAGCTCTGCTGTCTTAGATAGAGGAAGCTGAGGGAATTTGGCATGTAGCAAAAGAGGGCCTTTGAGATGTCAGAGTGCTCCCTGAGGGTGGACAAACAGTGCTTCTTCTCTGACCTTTTCAGTGGTTTAAGCTCACACTTTCTAAAAACTTGTTTGCACCTTCAGTAACACCGAGTTTAGTTTCCTCCTGTCACTGGTAACCATGTCTCATCCTTAAACACATGGGTTTCTTAAAATGGAAATGGATGCTCCTTAGCTTCACTACCCAATCTGCAGGGCTGGTAATCATTTATTGGTGTGCCATCTTTAAACTATCAGATGTTTGTCCTGCTTATGACTTGTCCTGTGATGTATTTAGAAAGTGCAGTCATTTTTCTTCTCACTTATGGCTAGTAAAACAAGCTGCCATTTTTTGTTTTTCTGTGTAACAAGTTGTGGTTTCTTGCTCACTCTAGTTAACCTCTTTTTACAACAGCCCGGCTTTTAATCCCTCTCCCTTGTGTGCTGTGGGCAGAATTAAGCATAAAATTGCAGATTAGGTCTCATTTTCTGTTAATGCAGCTTTCTCATTCTTGCAGGAAGTGTCTGATGGCTTCCTAAATGTCCCTTGGACTCTGTTGAGATTAGTGGGGGAATGCAGAACAGGTGTCATAAGGCTGACATCAATAGCATAACAAAACAAAGACAAGTTTTGAAGAAAAGAAGAAAATGAATGGAATGAGGTATAAAGTAAGGATGGATCGTGCTAGATTAATCCAGCCTATCCTTGGTAAATGAGACCAAGCACTGTGAATACGTGAAATTGAGTAGCAGGGAAAATTGCTAGAGAAGCAGAGGAGTCTGGTGCTGCTTGGGGACTGCATGAAGAACAGGCTCATGGGGAGACAGCTGCAGTGAGGATGGAAGGTTTGGCAGCAGGCATTTGCTGGAGGGCTTTCCCAGGTGTTTCCCTCTGGGAAATCACATGTTCATACTTTCATAACAACCTTGGCACAAAAATGAGTGTGTTAATGAACTGGGCTTTTTGGCACCACTAATAAGTAAGAATGAAAGATAGTAGAGGAACAGACCTTAGGAATGAGTAAGGCAGGTGGGTGAAACAGGACCATACAAAAGTCAGGACTGCACTTCATGAGCATGTAAATATGTACGGAAGATTAAAGAGCCTAGACCTGCTGGTGGTGTCACTCTACCAACACACCACTAAGATAACTGGAAGTTCTGATGGGGTGTAGGCAGTCTCACTGGCAGGTAGTAAGTTGTGTTGCTCTGGTTTCTGACTGTAATACTTCACATTTCCTGTCTTTAAAAGATCTATTCCTTCTTAGGAGGGTATTCATACTTGTTAATAGGGTGGTGTCTGGTCCTTACTTTAAGTCATTCTCAGGATGGTGCATCAACCGAAGTATCTTCTGCAAAGCATCACTCAACAAAGTAGCTTGGGGAATTTTCATTTGCACTATGAAGTCATCCTGAGAAAACCTGGACATTTAGTAGAGAAAGGAGAGCTTGGAAAATAGTGTGTAAGCACAGGTATTCTTCTTTTGATCTTAGATCAGATTCTCCTGCACTGCTCACCTGAAAAACATTCAGGCTGTGATTTCAGGTGGGAAACATGATAGGGAGAATGTGAACCATGCACATGTCATGTTCTTACTGGATTAGAAGGAAGGACCATTAATGGCTGCGAAAGCAGCAGAGACTTGCCATGAGTAGCTGCTAGCACTTTGATTTTAGCACTGGTTACGGTGTGTAGGACAGGACAAGACTTGCAGCGATGATGGGCAGAGACAGGACTTTAAGCAAAGGTTTAAGCAGAGCTGCAGAAGTGTCTGAGCAGTTCTGACTGAGCAATCCATGGGTGGCTGAGCCACCAGTTCACCTGCCATGATTCAGGGGATGGCAGCAGGTGCTTCGGGATGGATTCCTCCGTGATCCAGGGAACAGCATTGGAGGGAAAGGGAAAGGAAAGGCTTACGTGCTGAATGAGAACCAAGGCACAGCAGGGAAGGGATTCTGGCAGTACTCCACCATGGCTGCTGCTAGAAGGCTGAGGAGTGTGATTAGGGTCAGGTACAGATCAGGGAATGACTGATGTGCCCCTGAGAAAAGAAATACTTATTTCTGAATGACTCAGCCTGTAATACTGTTGCCCGGGGCTGTTTTGTTACAGTTTGTGTTTACGCAGCGCATTTGTATGCAGGGGTGATATTAACAGCCACCAAGAGGCAAAGATACACCTGTAATGTTTTTTTTTTCCAGGATGAGTCAATCTTCCCAAGAGCCCATATCTGGGATGACTATCAGCATGACTATTTGGTACCTGAAGGTGTCATTAACTCATCACCTTGTACCATACTCTTATTTCTGGATGTATGCGGGACAGTCTACAGGATCTTCTGTCTTAGAATGAAGAGGGTATGAAACAAACAGGATATAGACTGGAATCTAAGTGTCATTTTACAGTCAATAAAATGGCAGTCACACCTAAGTGATGACCATGGCACTGTCTTGTTTCAGCACCTGACGTCTCCTGACAGGAGAAGAAATGCACTTTCCTGTATGTTAAGAAATCATATTCAGACCTGTTAAAACAAGAATAATACAGTTTGTGCAAATTTTACATATTGAAGTATGCAACAGGGACACATGGTGATTCTGTTATCCTTTAAGATCTAAACTCTTACATCTTTTTACTAAGAAATGTGTAAATACAAAAGCTAATGATCTACAGATGCAATGAAAGGATGCCGTGGATTTTTCCACTGTTTCTGTATAGGTCACTTGATGTGACAATAAATTGTAAATGGATTTCCCTACATTCACCACAGCTCAAGTCACACATCTTAGCAGGACAAAAACCTCAGAATGATGAAAGAGAATTCACTTTATTACTTCTTGAGCATATAGAAAAGTTAAGGCAAGGCACATTCAGTTGAAAGGTTGTTAAATGTTTTCTATTAAAAATAGTTTTAGGTGAAACTTATTCCTTGCAGTATTAAGTTCTTCAGGGATTTTTTCCCTTTCTTAACCACATCCAAAACAATAGGGATGATGGACAGATATGTTATTGCTAAGTGCTATTACCTTTTTCACAGTATCCTGAGTATGTTCCTGTTATAGAAATATAGAATAAAACTGAGTTCTTGTGTTGAAATTTGACATGAAAATTGCATTGAATCAAAAATGACTGGAAAAATATTCAATTAATAAGCCACTTATTCATGTTTTCATTTCAACTGTGTTCATATGTTTCGGGAATCTTTGGATTAGGAGTCATTTGGCATTTTTATCTTCAGCTTCTAGCAATCTCCACTTCCTGGAGCTGGTCGAAGTTACTGCTTTCATTTCTGTTTGAAATTCAGCAATGAAGAAACTTTTTGGTATGATAACAGTCTTGGACAGATTATAAAAAACTGTAAAATATTGATTCTGCAAATTCTGAGTGTCAAATTTGTTTGAATTATCCTTTTAAAGAGCTTAGGTACTGATTCAGTGTACTAAATGCCATTTCAAATAATAAATTGATGATCTGAACAATTGTACATCTTAACGTAACTGCATGTTTGATGATGGTAGATAAGTATGTATGGCAGTAAAATGCATGCTCTATTCAGGGGAGTTCTTTAAACACTTTTAAACAGCACCTCCTGTTTCTACCCTATCTCTTGCCCAGAGAAGTGGTTGATGCCCCATCCCTGGAGACTTTCAAGGTGAGACTGGATCGGATCCTGGGCAACCTGATCCAGCTGTGGTGTCCCTGTTCATACAGGGAAGCTGGACTGGAAGACTTTTACAGGCAACTCTAAGGATTCTATGATTCTACCCAAGAGATGTAAAGGTGCTAATAGTGAGCAATCCTTTTAAGCACTGCTTTCATTGGTAGTGCCAGATTCTCTCATTTCTAGCTCTTGCCTTCACCCAGTGCCTCTTTTTCTATCTACTACAATGTTGCTCCTTAAGCAGACAAAATTTTTTATTGAAGTGATATCTCAGAGTATTTCCTTTCCTTCTGAAGCCCAACTGGAATTTTCTTAAATAGCCCTTATTATCAGGGCAAATAATAATCCTCCGTGTCCTTTTCCATATGATATGACAGAACAATACCAAGCTGATAGCACAAGTTGTTCCTTCAAGTCAGCACGAGAGTCAAGTGAAGGAGATAAATTATTTAGTGCACTTCAGATTTACTCATGCAAGTAAGAAAGCTCAAAGCTTTTGATCCAAGGCTCAGAAATGCAGTAGCAGTTAGAGGGTTCTGCTGCCAACCTTTCTCTCCTAAAATCACCTTCTTGTTCCTCCCTGTATTCAGTGCTGCATATAACGTGAATTGCCTGGCAATAAAACACTGCATGCAAGGCTAGAAGTAGAACACAATGTGCATTGCACTCTTACCATGCACTTATGGAGATCTTTAAGGGAGCACTTAGATTCCTTCCTCTTGGAGGTAGTCTGGAGGAGATGCATGTTCAAATCCCACAGCTCCTCCATTTAAAAGGGAAAAGACCCTTGAAAATACTTATATTCAGTCTTACTAGTGTTGTCTTACATTCTTTCCAAAGTTGTAGATTTTGGGAACAGGAAAAATTAGGTTTCTGGATCTCAATAGAAATTGAGACATTGCAGGGAGTAGAGATCACCTTCCTGGAGTCCAGGCTTGAAGCAAATGCAGGGCAGTTAAATAAATCCCTAATAAAAGTTGGAATACGATGCAAACTAAGATTCTCTCTCCCATATGGATTCCAAGGAGGTTGGTTAAGAAATCCCCCCAGTTGAGGGAAAGAGCAGGATTTTGAAGTCGAAGCAGAGATGCAGTAGAAAGGGAAAACAATGTCCAGAAACTATATAACAGACTGTTTGCTTACTCTTGCTAAAAAGTGAAGTGATTCATCCTCTGATTAGTTCAGAAGAGGCATTCATTTTGAGGAGCCCTGGGATGAAACCCTTCAAGATCAGGGACATGAAGTGTATGGAGCTTGATGAGTGATCAAGGAGACAGCAGCTTAACTAAGGAGGAAAATGAGATATGGTGCCTTGAACCCAAAGACATTAAAGCAGTTATGTGGTCACGAATTCCCAAATCTCATACCAATAGCATTTGCTGACAATTTAATCACAGAAAACAAAGGTAGTTGGGCAGCTACATCCCTTCTGAAGGTGTGGGCCAAAGTTTTTATTACCTCTTCACTACCTTACTTGGATGACATTCTAGTTTAATTCCAGTCTCATTTCAATTTAAGAGGCACAGAATCACAGCTGTAACTGCTGACATTTACTCTTCTTCACAGGGACACCAAGTACAGGGGCCAAATTCAGCACTGCAGCTAAGCCCAAAGTTTGTCAACTTCTGAAGTTTTCCAAGCCCCAACTTAAACACATGAGCATAGGCTGTGAGAAAGGGAAAATTCAGTGATGTATGACAGAACCAGATAGGATGAGCACTTGACTGCCCACCTAAGCTTGACTGGTCCAAGGCATGCTTGTTTAGTGATGCTGAGATGTACAGCAGCTTGGCTTCCTTTGTGGAAAAGAAGGCATATTCAGTCTCCAGAGGTGGTGCCTCAGTACTTTTTGTAACATTTAAATCATTTTAAAAGGTCTTTAAGAAGTTATAGTAAGCCCTTGAGTTCTTCCACAGGCCACAAATTAATTAACTTGCTCCTTAAATTCCAGCAAGCTAGGTGGAAATGCTTTAGAGGTTCCTCCCTTGGAAAACGTAAAACATCCTCTGATTAACTCCCCACTTTGTGATAATGATGGCCTGTGTTGCTTTAAAGAGCTTGATGTGATTTTTAAAATTTATTAAACTATCAGAAGAGGCTTCTAGTTAGTGCTGGAGATTAAACTTGTGCTCTACTTGAAGTTAGAGGGAAAGGAATTAGTTGGCCACCAACAAGGATAGGCCCTTCTTCTATAAGAGAAGGAGCATCCAGCTCTGCCTGCTGGCTGAGGTGGTCACAGAAGTCTGCAATAAAAAGCAACATAATGCTTCAGGCTGCAAATGGGGAAGAGCCCAAACAACTGCTCTCATACCCTCAAGACAGCACTGTTTTTCATCTCTTTGGCTTTTGTTTCTAAGGTATGTTCTGCTTCGTGAATCCTCTGGCTGGCAGGTTTGAAGTGAGATCTCCTTACAGATGACAGTAAAGGAAAATAAATCTGTTTCTTAGGTAGCTGCTAAATGCAAAGGTCAGATGAAATCTTAAAGGACTTGAGAGACTACAGTGAGAGAACATGATCCTTGGGTCTGATAAAAACCATGTACTGCCCAGTCCCAGAGCAAAGAAATCATACTGGAGACAAAAGAGTCAGAAAGGAGTGAGATTTCTTGCAGAAAGCCCAGTTCCAACTGGCCAGCTGAGGTGGGTTCTTTGCAGGCTCCTGTGAGTGGGTCCTGTGGGGCACGGACAACATAGTCAGAGAAAAGGGGAAGTGTGACATTTCCCTGGTTCTGATGCTGAAATCTCTTCGAACGGGGCTTTGGAACAACTCATTGAGGGTATATTGCAGTAGGGAATTGCCAGCAGGTGCAGGACTGGTGTATCTGTGCCAAAATACACGCCGTCACTGAAATAGGCAGGCAAAAGCCGTATCTGATCCTAATGCCAGGGAGTGGCTTCCCACAAGAACTGGAGGAGCTGGCATAGCTGGTGCAGTTCAGAAATCAACTTTTCCCTGTCACAGCACAGAACTCCCTGTTCTTGGATCCCCAGGACTAGCAAGAAATCCCCATGGCCTTCAGTGTTTGTGATCATTCAAACATTTCCCACACCTGGGGTTTCTGGTGCATTTTTACTGAATTCTCAACATGAAAACTTTCCCACTAAGTTCACTGACATTTTTCCTTTGTAAATCCTGAAGTCCTTCAGGACTGAGAAATACTACACCTCTAAACTGGTGGTGTTTATTTTATGTCAGCACCTGTAAGCTCTGTAAGTGAGTGATGATGCCACAGAACGAGGTGCTGCACAGTTATGGCTGGCTGAACTTGATAAGCAATGGGCTACCCTACGATTCCTTAAGTGCTTAGTGCTTGTGTTGCTCCACAAGATGCACACAAGTTCCCCTGCGACGTGAGAAGACTCATGCCTGCTGTCTGAGCTGCAGTTGCCTTCTGCCCCATCACTGTTTATTTCTCAGCAGAGTACAGGGTGAGATGTCCCTACTCTGCTCTCTGCCTTCTCTTGTTGGATCCTCATCCCAGATCCTGGCTTTCTCACAGCATGCAGCTGCATGGATGGCTTGGGTCCAAAACTATGCCAACTCACAGAGATGCAGTATTTTCCTGAGGTTCCAAATCTTGGCAATAATTTTCAACCTTTCAAACAATGGGTGGACCTTCAGCAGTAAATCTTAGCTGCCTAACAATAGCTCTGTTTTACTTAGTTACCTTCTTTAGCCTAGGCAAGGCAAATCTTGATCTTGGCTTGTTAACTGTTTATAAGTGTTTGCACAGTGTATAGTGAGCAAGCACCTCTGCAAACTGTACTGCTAGTTGCACTGTTAGTGTACAGCCTTTAAGGTACAGTTCTAAAAAGGACATGTTTCCTGTGTCACTGGCTGCTCAGTGCTATGTCTCATTCCTGCATTGGGGTAAACTTTTTGTTTAGTGCTTTACTCAACCAAATTTCAACTGAAATGACTTTCTGTTTATTTCATATGCCACAACAGTTACAATTTGCTGATGATCTGGCTCATAAGGGTTGAGCAAGAGGAAAGAATTCTACCTGATCCTCACTAATATTTATATATTGAAGTATATAGGGGAAGTAAAATGTGCAGCTGCCTAGAGTGAAGGATTTTTGTGTTAGGGATTTGAGGGGATGGATGAAATTAAAATCAGTTGAAACCTGAAAGATGTTCCCATAGGGTAAATAAAATAAGTGTTTGAGCAGTAGGTTATGAAAGTCTGGAAGATGGCCAAATCAGCAAAGCATTTTATCTTTACTGGATGGTTGTTTCTTTGTTA